AGAGCCGCCTTGGTGTCCTCGCGACTTTGTCGGTTGTGTCTGCAGAGACGTGCCTGCCGCCGGTCTCCCCGCTGCCCAGAGCCGCCGTCCCCAGGAGGACTGTGTACCTGGAGCTGGCTGCACAAGGCCGCACCCTGTCAGACGGAAGCATTGTTGAGAATGCTCTGCCTGCCTTTTCTAGGTGTTCGGAAGGAGCCAGTCGCTGCCTGGAGCCGACTCCCTTCTTGCCAAACCCATTGATAAGCAGCACACAGACACAGTGGTGAACTTCCTCATCCGCGTGGCTTGTCAGGTGCGGCTTTTGAAAGGCTTCTGTTACAGATTCTTCAGAACAGAGACTGCTTAATAGATTCTAGAATGTTATCTCTGACAGTGTAGTCAGGAACAATGTAGACAAACCAAGGTCTGAGGCCAGCTCTCTTGTACCGCATTCCACTGATTTCGTAACAGGCTAATGTTTCTGAAACCTGCCTGTTTTATAAGGGATGGGATTTTTAAAAACATTTTTTCTTTCTGCGATGGTAAAATATTGGTATATCTCATGATTAAGGTCATCTTGGTGTTGACACAACATGGCACTCGGCCAGTGACCTTGGGCAGATTATTTAACTTCCAAATACATCTCGTAAAGGTGCTGGGATGATCCGACCTCCATAAATTGTGGACGTTTAGTAATTTAAGTGCTTTTAAAACTTGTATTTCTTTATCATTTACGTCAATATGTATTTTCATGTATTTCTTGGGAATCTATCTCTGAAACAGTTTGGAAAAAAAACATTGTAAATGAAATTTTCTTAGGTAGTTTTTTTAGAATTTGGGAGTCTTAAGTTTGTATGATTACTAAACAGAATAGTAGATCTTGCAAAACCGTTGAGGGCTTCAAAGTAATGAAAAGAATCTGCTGAATAATTCAGCTAGTACCTTCTCGGTGCTGCAGTGTGCCAGGCCCAGCCTGTGAGGTCCGTGGGAGGAGCTTGGGTGCGCTCTTGGGGAGCTGCCTGACGCTAATCCGTCACTCCCACGAATGAGTGCAAATCCCCACAGACCCCACAGCAAGAGAGTGGGCGGG